TAATTGGCGGTCCTTGCCCCTATTTTCCTGATCGCTAACGCTACCCCCTCCACTGCATCGATCTCCCCACTACATGATCCTCACTCTCGCGTGAAGTGGAGGGGATAGTGCTAGCGAAAAAGTAGGAGTAAGGGCCGCCAATTAGCCTCTTCTGAACAAGTAAATAAGTAAATAATTAAACATTTCTTTCACAGTAAAGAAGAAACATCACTACTGAACGAATTTCCAGATAAATGAAACTACTTTTTAAAAAATCCAACTCGAACGCACGCATTCGAGTGAAAATCCTCAAGTACAAATTCAAGAAGTGTTGGAAATGCCGCGTTCGACTCACCGATCATGAGGAACGGTGCGGCCAAATTCAGGCCGATGAAGTCGACGCCCAAGTATATGCAGAGGCCAAACGCTGCAACCGTTGCCATCGCCGCAGAAACGTTCCCGAGGAGACCCAGCCACGGCTTGCTACGCACCCAGTCGGTCATCATGCACGTCACCACGGAAAACAGAGCCATGAGGATGAACGTGCTGGAGAAATAAGGCACTATGGTCTTCGTGTTCTCCTCCAGTTCCAGTTCCAGCGTCCTTGAAGCGAATCTGGCGGTGGCGATGTGCTTGAACATGTTCCCTTCCTCCACTCTCCTCAGCGTTTCGAGAAACGCTTCTTCCCAGGCTGCTCCACTATTCGTGACGATGGAAAATCAAATTACTAATCGAGGTCAATGAAATAATAGATATTACTATTATTATTGTAAAATTAAAATGATAAGTAATAATATCTAAATTTATAATAGTAGTATCTATTATTTTAATGATGATTTAATTTAAGATAATAGATATCATAAAATTAAAATTGAGATTAAAATCAACGTTAGAATTAAAATGAGAAAAAGAAAAACTAAAATGTTGAAATTAACATGTCACTAGAATTTATGCACAGCCAATTCAGAAAAATTTTCGCTATAATTTCAAACACATTAATATTGATGCTGATAACAGTTAATGGATATTGATGATATTGATATTGACATTAATATTAATTAACATTCGCTGACACTCATAGATCGTTGTAAAAGATATTACGTAAATCATACTTGTGTAATAATAGTATTTAGAAATGTAAAGAAAAATCAATTTGCGCTGACTCATTAGCAATAATGCAAGAGAAATGAGATTGAAAGAGTTACGTAACGTTTAATGTGATGTATGGATCATTTATTGTAATTCGTGTAAACTAATATTCTTGAACATGACGCGAATATTAATTCAAAGTTCTTTTGACATTTAAAAGGCAAAAGTCATTTAAATCTAATTATCAATTAATTAAAATACTCAACTATTGTTAATGTATTGAATATTGATTATTAATAAGGTAGCGTTTAAATTGTAGTTAATTATAAATTATCATTGCAAATGATATTTGATCAATATAAAAATTATGATATAACTCTAACTATATTAATAACATTAATGAATTGAAACTGGATATTAAATTATAAAGTTCTTTGCGATCCAAGTGCAATGTCGCAAACAATTTTAAGGAATAAAGACGATAAGATAATAAGAATATAAATATAGATATAATAATTATGTCATTACATTCATTTATTACAATCTGCACCTCGACCGCAAAAGATCAATGTAACATTGATACATATATCATTTACTTAAAAAGAGGAAATAAATTATTTGAAATTATTTTAAGAGAAAAATTATATATATTATTAATTATAATAATTATAAATTATTTTAAGAGAAAATAAATTATCCAAAACTTTAATATATTCGTATATAATATTATTATTCGTACATAATATTTTAAAAATATTCGTGCGTTTGTGTAACATGCTTAATATCGGAGGAAAAAGCTTCGAGAGCAACTTACATCGCATCCTGACGAGCATTATCGGCTGTGAGGAAGTACGCCAGTTGCATGGAGGGCACAGACTCGATGATCAGGTCCTCGTTGATAACGCTACCTCCGAAATAGACTGGTAGCAGGTGGATGTCCCAGGTGATGGGGTTCAATGTCACAGGGAACGTCAGGTTCAGCTCCCTCTTCTCCACATCCCTGCAAAGTGCTACCGACTACTTAGACCTCCAAACAACACGCGAACTGATTTTAAAAATATTTTTTAAAACTAGTCTTATCTAGTATATATTAGATATCTTGGAACATATTACCTATTATAATTATTATAATTATATTACTATATTACCTATTATACTATAAATATATTACCTATTATACCTATTATAATTATTATAATTATTTTTATATATTACAATGAAAATTCTCCTCGCATAAAATTTATTATTCTTATAATTCGTAGAATTATTTTTATTTATTGGCAATAAATTGTTTCTCATACAAAGTTTACGCGAGATTCCTAACACTGGAATTCTTCGTCGTGATCGATGGAGCGTTTTTCTGTTTGTTAAAATCGAAGCAAGATTGACACATATTGTAAAAATTTGAAAAAAATTTGAACTCGCAGGTGAAAGTCAATTTCTGTAAAATATTATGTTGCGATAAATGTTCATTTCAATTACTTGCATTGTCTAAAAGTTTTTCTATAACGCTCATCTTGTTTCAACCCTTAAGACCTTCAGTTCAATAATAATAATTGTTAAACGTTTATATTTAATTTATATTTACAACTGGTATGGAGAAAGGCAATGAAATAATAAAGGATGTTGCTATTACTTAAAATTAAAATTGAAATTGAAATTAACATTAGAATTAATAGAAAGAAAAAAAAATTCAAATTAAAGTTCAAATTCAAATTCAAATACAAATTAGAACTGAAATTAAAATTGGAATACTGTTTGAAAATTCAACAGAAGATTAACAGTACGTGTCACTCTGAAATATTTCAATCAGTTGTCAACCACACAATTATAGCAATATACTTACTCTATGACATGATGTAGGTCCAGAATGTCGTTGTTGAAACACGTGTCCAACCATTTGGCACAGATCTGACTGTAGGTGAACTGCTCGCCTTCGTAGGTGGCTTTCGTGTTCCTGATCTCCTTGTCCAGCTGTCTAAGTTCATCGAACACCGCTGTTCTCAGCAAATTCTCGTTCCCGTCCTTCGACGTAATAATCACGTGACCGAATCGACCTGATTCGAACCGAAAAAAAAAAAAAATTAATTATTAATTATTAAACGTTAATTATTTGAACTCGCGGCTGTGACTGCGAACGATCGAATATTTCTTTTGCAATTTGAATGTTGCGAAAGGATCAAGACAACATCAGAGGGGAAAACCAACGTCAACCAACGTTTCAGTTAATTAGCAATGGCTCAATGAAACGTGAAAGTTTCTCGGACTAATAACAAACTATGCACCGGTAATTCATGCAGCACGAAATCACGCACAATGCAAACAGGGAAATGTTGAAGTCGTTGATGCACTTTCTCCTTGAACTTCGCCATCACCGCTCTGTTGTGCTCTGTTCACACCGGCGGCTAACAATATGTCGTTCTTATTGACCAATTCATCGACTTGTTGTTAGTACAATGAAGGGGAAGTCGAGTCTTGACATTTAATTTTTTACTCGAATTCTTTTCAGATTCGATAATCTCTGTAATTAGCGTTGAAATTGAAGCAACATTTAAATTCAAAAATATATTTATTTAAAGTATGGTTAAGAATTTCAAATACCAATGGCAATATAAATAACACAGTGTGATTATTTAATGTATCTGTAATTGGTATTTGTAATTTTAATGCTTGCTATGATTTAACTTTATATTTTTGTTTAGTTTAACATATAATTTATGTAAATTATAAACAGGTGTGAATAATCAGCGGCGTACTGTACACCTCTCGGTATTATATTTTTATATATTTATGTACTTAAAGAATCTTGTTTATACACTGAAGGTATTTATAAAAAAAAAAAAAAAAGATATAAAATACCCAACAATGTTTTTCCATGTATTTGAAAGAACAGGCATTTGAAAGAATTTTCTACAAATTAATTGCATCAGTCACGCGATTATCAAACAATTTGTCATAAAAGTCGCCTGTTCGATTAATCAAACAAATAAAATGAGAAGGAGCATTAAAATGAAAACGAGAGAATACGATATAAAACGCGGAACATAACACATAAAAATACGTACATCAGAAAATTCTCCGAAAATTCTATTTGAAAGAGGTTCTCTCGTTAACTCACCTGGCCTGGTGATGCGGCCGAGGTTGAATTTGTGGCTGTAATTGACCTTGAAGTACTGCTCGACGATCGCCCTTTCCATCTTGCTCGGGCCATTTGTCGGTGAGAAGAGATATTCCGGGTCTATCTCGTAATGGATCCTCTGGTATCCGGTGAAGCAGATGCAAGCCAGGAGAACCGGAACTATCACGAAGTAGCCGGGATGCCGGCCAACCACCAAGCCCAGTTTGTGAAACGCTCGGTTTAGGAAATCGTCCACGCACGTCAGGTTGTTCCACATCTAGGACCAACAACCATTAGATAAAGTGAATCATTTTAATGGAACGGTTAAATGCAGCACGGTAGAACTTCGTTTGTTTCAATCAAACTTTCAATCAAACCGGCAGTACACGCCAGGATTTGGATTTTCGAAACAGAATATTATTAATATAACATAATATAGTTCGCAACTGTAATAAAATAATACTAATAGTATTATATAGTAATATGTTCTATCTTTCTTCATGAAAATAATATCGATACATATAGAAATATAGAAATATAATGAGTATTATATAAATATATCTGCAATTCATCATCTAGAAATCATCATACAGATATGTATACGAATTTTTCTTCAGAGAATCTAAGAAATATATTTATAGTTGGACAAATTATAATCTGGTTATTAGATCAGTCATTGGATCGTCACTATACTATACAAATATACTATATAAGTATATTATTACTATTACTATATAGTATAGTCTAGTATGTCACATAATATTTATAGTATAGTATATTGCTATATTATATTATATACTAGCAGAGGGAAAAATTTTGTTATACAAACCATTTGTTATCCGACAAGTTATATATACTATACAAGTATACAATACACGATATATTATATAAGTATATTATTACTATTACTATACAGTATAGTATAGTATATTATATAATATTTATGGTATATTGCTATATTATATTATATACTAGCAGAGGGAAAAATTTTGTTATACAAACCATTTGTTATCCGACAAGTTCACATAGACGAAGTTCTACTGTACATAATAAATGACACTAGAAAAATATTTAGAAGACAAATTAATGATACGAGATAATTCAGAATTTTATTAGAGAGTGAAATTATACTCAACTTATACTCATGAGAACAATGAATTTGCACGTTATGAAAAGCAACATCACGATGTCTTCTAAATTAATATATATTCAACCAATTTGGTAATTGCTTTTTTTTGTTTGCGAAAAGTAAACTTACTCATTGCATTAGCTTGTTAAACGTTCAGCGTTAGTTTGCAGTTCTTCTTTTTCAAAAGTCTACGTTATCAAATTTCTTGATCTTTTAATCACATTTGTGAAATTTACCTTCCTTATTCACGTTCTCTCAGAGTTTACAATTGCAAAATATTTCGTGACAAATATTGCTCGATCTTTAATAAAAATTAATTATTACGATAGAGCAAGGACTATTGATAAGCCTGCTTATAATACATCGGTAAAGATGCCTCGAATTTAAATTATTCCGCTGAAAAGTACCGATAAAAAAAAAAAGAATAACAGAAAACTATGACAGAAAAGACATAACGCTCGCAACCTGTCCATTTTGTTATAGCTGGACACATTGTGCATACAATTGGAGATTTTACAGTAACTAACAGTAATTCCAAAGAAACTAGTTCGTGCACAGAGATACCTATCAACGAATCGACGTCGTCTGAATTTTATAACTGGACGCAATTTATATACGCAATTATATACACATACAGTAAATAATGCATTAAACAAGCAATAAGCAATAAATAAATAACATAGTATATTGTATGTAAGATTAATAACATAGTATATTGTATATTTGATATATTATAATTTATTATATACATTTATATTTATTTATTACACTATATCGTTTATTATACACATATTTTTACCTGTCACATATTTAATATCTCATTCACTACATCAATTAATATTGATTACATTTACCAAATACATAAATAGCACAATGACTAAAGAATTCGATTGAAAGAAACCTGTGAGAAAGAAATGTGAAAAATATGCGAGTATAAATATAAAAATATGTAAAATTGTCCAATAAAGTTTGTTGCAATGTAATTAATGTATTGTCGATGTCATGTATTTTAATATCAATGGTAAATATTGATATAATATATGTGCAACGTATAAAAATATGTAAAATATCCAATAAAGTGTTTTTATTGAATGCAATGTTAATATATCGTTGATGTAATAATACAATTAATATATTTTAATATCAATTGATATTTAAATATATTGTAGTGATATTAATAAATAATAATAAATATAGCATATTAATAAATAATAATAAATATAGCAAGTATTGGTTATATTATTAAATATAAATACATTACAGTGTCAATTTATTAAATTATAAAATGTTAATGACAGAAAGTATAATATATTTACACTAATATATTGCGATATCAAATGTAATTTCAAATTATATTTTGATACCAAAGGTTTCAAAAATTCCTAAAATGCAGCTCTTACTTCGATGGACAAATTTCTATGTTGTTTAAAATCCGTTTTTCAATTACATTTATACGAGCACAAAATTAAGAAGATTTTCACTTTTATCTTACACATAGATTTTCACGGGTATTTTCCATTTTTTCTTGGTTTTTTGCTTTGTCTGTTTCATATAATATGCTTCATGCTGAACGACGAGGATCGACGAATAACGTAAAATTCATCGCACGGTCCGTTTCACTCGTAGCCAAACTCGGCTCCAGAATTCGAATTCCATTCCCGCTTACGTAAACCGACACAACTTACACGCGACAGGTTGTTCCCCGCGATGATCGTGCGGAGTTGAGTAAGGATGTAATTACGAAACTAATATAAACTTATATCGCAGGCTGCAATTATTGAAAAGGGAACTGCACAACGGGGAACCGCTCGATTTACATTCGAGCGCAGGTAAACCTGATCTAAATCCAACTCACGCGATTTCAACTATCTCTCGGCTGCTTTTTTCTTTTTTCTTCGCGAATACTCTTGAAGTTTCAAGGATCATTCCTGAGCGTAATTACAGCGTTCTTGGTCGCCACTAGTCTTTCACGTTCTGCTGGCGAATTTGACAAGTAAATGATAATATCGATCGCATCGAATTTAAATTTTTATTCAACATTGAATTTATTCGAGTCTCGATGAGTCTCATCAATCCAGTCTGATTCGTTTGATCTTTTTCTCTTTTTTTTTTTT